ACTAGCTGTTACCCGCAACTTCGTCCGCGGAGGTTTTGCAAGCAAACCCTATTTACATTTAATATTTCAATAACCATAGTAATTGTCATATAACACCTACCGCTGAAGAGAATTACCGAGAATCAAACGAACTATCTTCAATTTGATCAATTTTCTGGAACGTTTACAATCGTTCTATAATCGAACCAATATGCAATAACAAATTCGAATTTAAAACGTGTCGAACATTTTTAAAATCGAAATGTCTGAAATGTTATCAATTTAATACACCTAAGTACTCAATGAAGACTAAACGTAGTTGAAAACAAAAAATCTCATTTAAAATAGTACAGTAGAAGCCGTTTTTCCGGTTAAGCCTTAATCATCTTCCTCTTCCCATGCGGTGAAATTTCGAAAAATCCTTTCTTAGTGTGCGTTTCCATGACGTACCCTAACTGCTTACCAAATTTCACCTCTCTAGGTTAAGCGGTTTGCTCTGGGCGATGATTAATCAGCTAGTCAGTGAGTGAGTGAGTCAGTCAGGACACAAGCAATTTTATATATTTAGATTCACCGAGTTCCAGCAAGTTAATCCGTTAATTTATAATTCAGAACATTCCTACAATACTTAAATAATATAACTATAATGTCACTACAAAAAAATTATATTTCGTGTATTCGTTTACACAAGTTTCATTTTATATGGAATATGCTTCGGACAAATTGGGGTATATATTACAGTAGACCCCCTATAACACGGGTTCCTATAATTACGATTTCTATAAGATGGCGAATAAATTGCGACGTTATCCGTAAAAACCCGGTAAAAAAACTCCTATAATTCGATAAAACGTCATCGGGCCGGCCAACTACTTGTTGCCGTCCAGCGCCACGCTACGAAGAATTTAAACCGGTAAATTGAGTTTACTATCGTCTGTACAGTACAGTAGAGCTAAGATACGTTCCACGTTAATCGAATTTTACCTTGTAGGATGAATTAAATATTATAATTATTATATATATAATAATATAATATATATTATATATNACTATAATGTAACTACAAAAAAATCATCTTTCGTGTATTCGTTTACACGGGTTTCATTTTATATCGAATATGCTTCGGACAAATTGGGGTATATATTACAGTAGACCCCCTATAACACGGGTTCCTATAATTACGATTTCTATAAGATGGCGAAAAAATTGCGACGTTATCCGTAAAAACCCGGTAAAAAAACTCCTATAATTCGGTAAAACGTCATCGGGCCGGCCAACTACTTGTTGCCGTCCAGCGCCACGCTACGAAGAATTTTGGCCGGTAAATTGAGTTTACTATCGTCTGTACAGTACAGTCGACCCCCATATAATGTGCGTTCCTATAACGGAAATTCCTATAACGTAGCGAAAAAATTGTAGCAACATACATATAAAGTAGCTCCTAAAACGTCGTCGCCGACTCCTTTCTCGACAAGATTGATAGAATCTGGACCAATAGTGAATGAGCAGCCGAACTACTTTCCTCCGCCCTGCGCCACGCAGAGCGGCTAAATTGAGTTTGCTATCGTCTGTACAGTATTATATATAAATTAGATACTGTACATATAATTATATATTAATTTTATATAAATTAGGTACTGTATATATAATTATATATTAACTTTATATAAATTAGGTACTGTATATATAATTATATATTAACTTATTGTAACTTTGTTATAATTAAACATATAATTTCCGCCGTCTAGCGTGGCGCCACGCTACGGAGATTTTTACGCTAACTATCGTCTGTCAGTATGTAAATTAGGTACCGTAAGTCTAATACAGTACTGTAATTTTATACATTTCTTGTGAAAGAAACATTTCTTATTCAACGGCGATTAAAATTATTTATATTAATGATGTCTCCGA